AATTCGAGATGCTAACATTTCTTTTAATCTCTTCAGTCGCTACAGGGCAAAACAATCTGGTATCAATACAAGCAAGTTTTGATAACTACAGTGGTTAAACGGACAATAGTCAAGGAAGCGAGGGAGACGGTGGGGTGGGAAATCAGTTCCATGGCAGTCTGACTGATTGTGTGAGAAACTTTTGGGCTACGTAACTTGATTAGCACTGCCTCGCAATGTGCCATGAATGCTGCATGCAGGCCTCGCTACAACCGATGACGCAACAAAGTCTTACAGGTAAATTGTAAAGAGAAATCCAGGGTCATCAATTGCAAAACATGTCATGGCAACTGAACAAATCGTTGACCCACAAATGTCATTCAAGCCGTTATTACGTAACATGACCCCCAGAATTTTGGGATTTAGTGAGGCGATGCTAATCAAGTTACGTAACCCAAACGTTTCTCACACAATCAGTCAGACTGCCATGGAACTGATTTCCCACCCCACCGTCTCCCTCGCTTCCTTGACTATTGTCCGTTTAACCACTGTAGTTATCAAAACTTGCTTGTATTGATACCAGATTGTTTTGCCCTGTAGCGACTGAAGAGATTAAAAGAAATGTTAACATCTCGAATTATTTGTCTTCTCTCAGTTCTAACGAATTGGATAAAGGGGACCCAATGTGTTTAGAATTATATGATGATCAAGAATCCCATCTCCGATCTTAAAGTGAAACTAGTCACAAATTATCTATGATGTTAATCTTCCCTTTCCCAAAATATTTTTTTATGACTGAGTGCAGAAATATATTTATGTTTTACAGCATACTGAACGAGTTTATGGTCACTGTGTTCTATTTTAAATGTGCTCTGTAGAATTGATTTCATGCGGAAACGTTGTTCAGTGCTCTTTATCGGGCTTCATATTAATTAATTTGAACCATTCGGCCCCTCTATTCAATTCTGTGGTGCTGAGAGAAGATAAATTCGGCGAGATGATAAAATATATTGGAATCACCTCAGTCGCTGCAGCGTCAGACAGACAGGGATTCGTATACAAGAAAGCTTTTTATAACCAGTGTTTTTACAGACAACAATTAGGGAAACGGGAAATCAGTGTCAGAATCAGTCCCATGGTAATTTAATTGACCGCTTCAGCGTTTTTTGTACAAAATCGGATGACGTAACCTGATCAAAATCCCTGAAACCTAAGAGCCTGCGAATCATGTTGAACGAAAAAAGTGGGTCAGCGACGTGTCTAGCTGTTATGATATGCTTTTGCCATTGATGACCCTGGATTTTTCTTATCAGATTGATCTCTGAGAATGTGCTCTACCATTGATTGTGGTGAAAATTTGGAAGTATGTTCGGACATCCGTTGTGACAGGGACCGCTTCGTTCTGCCATTTTCTGTCATCGCAACTGCAGGTGAACAAAAGAGGATATGCGAAGCAGAATTAGGCAGTTGTCTCTATTTTCGGTTATCCAGAAGAAATCCCCGGGTGTAAGCGACCAATCAAGGCCGTGAAGCAGGGAGTTTTTGATACAATGCCACATTAAACTTCGGACGCACTAATCGTTTCATAAATTGAATGCATTCATTACGGGTACTACTAATTAAATTTCTAATGCCTGTCACCTGAACCGCCTTCAGAAAACATCATTCACGCATGTTTTTCTTCCAAATCACCAAATGGATTAAGTTGATCACTAGCACCACGCAGTATCAGGGATCAGTCCGCTGTCGGAAGCTTTGGAATAACATCGACGCGATATTAAAGAACGGGCACGATCAAGAGAGTAGACAACATACGTGATTTGCCAAGATCAAGTCCCAGATGAGTTCACGAAACCACCGACTGAGGAAGCGCATCAATCCGTCCGTCACATGCACGGACTGATTTTGTTCAACCTATGATGATAAATCCCCCCTACCTCCAAAGAACAGGTTTGCAGATAACTGATGAGGTCAACTGAAAATGGGTGGATATTGACGCTTGACAGTGGACACGAGTCTCAGGAATCCCCGCGACCACCGACTAGCCCTGACTCCCAAATGAAAGTTGCTGTTTAGCAAATGAGTTCATCTGTAAATACATTGTTTGATACCGATAAAATCACGTGCTCGTTGAGGAGAAATTGTTGTTTTGGAAGGAGCAAGTGAAAAGGTGTAAAACTGGGAAGAATTTGTTCTAAATCAGTTGGAAGTTAGTAAAAAAATTAAGAATAATACACACGACAATGGTACAACTGTAGAGACAATTTTAATGAGGGGGCCCGGCCAACCGAGGATGGATGGAATTGGGGAAGATGAGTAGTGGTGATGATGATGATGATGATGATGATGATGATGATGATGATGGTGGTGGTGGTGGTGGTCGTCGTGGTCATGTTCGTGTTGGTAACCACGGCAGCGGCTGCGGGATTCGAACTTACGGCTTTCGGGTAGCCAACATGTTGCAGTTGATCACTGGGAATAATTTTTGGGTAGTACATTGTGCTTTCCACAATCAGTGAAATCATCAGCTTACTACACGTCACCAGTATACAATTTGGGTGTAAAAACTTGTGTATTACTCGAAGTGATAGTCAGGGTACGTAAACGTCTCCCAACAGCACGACGGGAATATGTTTGATTCAAATTGTTCGCTCATCTCACAGGCTTTCAGTCACATATTGACCAGTTACAAGCCTTCTGCTGTTCCCCCGGCCATTTCGAGCAATGCATCAATTGATAACTCTGTGATTAGACTGATGTGATTATGGTTGACTGCAACGGATTGTGCATCCGACTATGGCTGCCACCTTGTTCGATTCAGTCCGACTTGAAGAATGTTTCGGTCGACACTATTGCATGCTACCCTTCCAGTTTTGCAGCAGGGACTGTGCTCTTGTTCCGATCCATCGCTATCTTCTTCCATGCCATCAAACACATGTATCCATAATCCATATGAGACCGAGCAGAACGTTTCCATTCAGTAAGGGAAACTGTTTGCTTGCAAACAAACGCTTCCTTTTAACAACCGCACAGCCGATGCATAGAGACTTGCAAACTCCCCTGTCAGAAAATCAGAGTTGGCATCAAGAGTTGAGCGGATTGAACTGCACGGTTGATAACCTCGGGGGCAGAAAACTGACTAATTGATATATCAACCACTCGGCTACACGCTATCGATCAGATTAAATGCACTAGATCACCCAGTAGCCCGAAAACGTTCAACGCGGGTTGTCTTGTGAGAAATGAATGGCACGCGAATGAAAATCAAACATCAAACGCCTGCAGTGTTCTTTCGCGACCCTAAAAATCTTCACAGAGAGAAAATCCCGACCAAGTGAGACGAACTCGAAAATCAATGCAAAGGTTGGAAGTTAAACTTAACTAATCCCGCACAGTCAGCATTAACAGAAAGAGTTGTAAGTTCTTAAGCAAAAACAAGACCGTACAATCACACAGGTGCTACAGCGATTTAAGCATCAAAAACATCAGTGACGCACATCAATATAGTTTGAGTGTATAAACATTTTCTGATAAACCTATGCTGTATATTTTATAACATGGGTCGGAAATGGTATCTTTGATGATTTCTTTGACTCTAGTTTCTGAATTGCCGCAAAACATTGCAAAGTTGCATGAACAAAATGTAGAAATTCTCTTAAAGTGAAAAACTCTGGTAGTTTCATTCCACGAACTTGTATATAAGCCTAAATTTGGCTCTCAGACAGGTGTAGGAATTTTTCCGTGACTGAAAATATATATTTCTGTTGAATTAAATATTATCTTTACAGAGAATAAATGTAAGATGTATCCAAAAACTACTCAGAATAATTTTTTAATCGATTTGGTGCATAAAATGTTTCTCTTTGAGCTTATATCCGTCCACCTGGTATGGATCTTCTCGTGTAATGTGATTAACAACATTATGACGTTGAGGTAGTTTTGATTATGCAACGTTCACTTCGGTGATGGCGTGCTCAACCTGTCCGAAAATTCCGATGGCCACGTTTAAGGAACTACTCTTAAACAGCCTCAAAATGAACTCCATTGAAAATGGTTTTATCTATGAGCCACGTCGCACCAGAAACGTGTACGACAATGCAATTCAAGCAAAATCATCAGGGAAAACATCCACCTCAAAATGATTACTTAAACTTTTACAAACCGTCGTGCTAAGCTGTCATCAAAAAAGTTTCAATATCAAAACCCATGGAATTGTCAAACAGTGATTTGTATCTACTTCTGATAACAATATAATAACTGAAAAATACTTGAGATACTATATTTGAACACTTCTGTACTGTCCACCGAAAAAATACTATTTTCTTACCAGTAGTAGAAACGAATCAAGAAGCTCGAAAATTACTATTTGTCAATACATAACCGCAATTTATGGTAGACATCGAAAGGACCAAAATCACTACGCATCCAGACTGAAGGTGGATCAAATCCCGCCAGAGCCAATTATATACCCCGTTTCTGCTATTCCCCAGGCAGATTTTGTATGGTCGTAATCCCCTTCCTGGAAGTTGACCGTGTATTTGTATTCTTAATCAATAAAAAAAATGCGAACCATGATTTTTCCATTTCCACCTAAACGTGTATCGTACATTCTGTGACACTGCACCTTGATAATAATAATAATAATTATTATTATTATTATTATTATTATTATTATTATTATTATTATGCTGATTCGGATGATGATAACGATGATGATTCGGATGAGGAGGATGATGATGATTCAAACATTCACGCTTGTCAATCTCTGGATACAGGTAGAAATCACACGAGAAATTCAGGCACTGACATTTGTACGAAACCTCAATGTAGCAGTGAATTCGTTCGCTAGGATGTGAATTGTAACCGATGCGTGAAAAGTACGCAGTGCGTTGAACCTGGTGTGGAAGTATACAGTCGATTGAGGAGAGATCGAGGTAACCTGATTGAGGGTGTCACATAGGTCAATCCAATAACTCGCTAAACGCGACTAAGAAAACACGATTTCGAAGCACTGAATACCCGTTTATTGTTTTGACTGCTTACATAAAACCATCTGAACTTTACGCAAGATTATGTTAATAATTCCAGAGAACGAACACCAATAGGGCACAAAAGTATGTCCAACAAGAAACAAGCTGCGGTCATTTCATAGTCAGTAAAACGTTTGGTCAGGTGATTCGGCTAGCATTGCTTTGCATGATACCACGAGACAATCAAATTGTGGCACATATCCTGGACCTTTACAAATATACTTTTCGAGCATTATGATGAATCGTAAAATAAACTTGTTCATGTACGGGGCAAAAGATGTGAAAGAGAAAGCTGGAGATCATTGTTAAATTAGATGAACTCAGTCATAGACTAGGAGGGCATCAATGAGGTGTGGATATCTCCTTCGATTTTCGCGGCGTGATTCGATTTCGACATATCTTTCCATGCAACCTCACTGATGGGAAGTGAGTCCGTCAGTGAGAAACGAGCTTCATGGAACACAGTAGCTTTTATCTAAACTACCTACTAACAAGCAATAAAGTAGCTAATTTCTCACAAGTTTTAAAACATTTCCAAGATGCAGCTGGAAACTTTCAACACATAGTTTACACCTGTCTCATTATACATTATTGTGTATTGTGTATCTGGTTCAGACTATGCACCAAACAAATCCCAATATAATAATTTCTATTGTAAAGATATCAATCCATGATTTGCCGGTGAACGGAACACTGCCAGGTTGACCAGGTCAAGCTGTGTGTTCGCCGCTTCACAGGGTCTGCCTTCCTTGCTCTTGACCCAGTGCGTCCACTTCGTCATCATTTCAGCACCAAAGCAACAAAAAACTGAACCACTGCTCGTTCTCATGTACCATGGAATTCTCTCGGTCTCACAGGACCGAATATTGCTTACCGGTGAAAAAAATTACTGAGGTATTCTACCTGAGTCATTTGATTTAATGGAAATCACATGCGTTTCCTTGTCTTTGTACATCGCAGAACAGTGTGTGAACCACGATAGTATGATGCGTCTGTAAAAGTAGCGGGGGCAGTAGATTGGCGCGCCCAATCACAGACCAATCAAAACGCTAATCGTACAAACCAATCGCGTGATAATCCTGAATCATTTGGACGTAGTACAAAAAAACGGAAAAATGGTGTAGATGCCGGCATCAGACGTATATAGTTATCCCTCGAAAAAGAGGAATAACATTTATTTGTAGCAATACGCATTACCTCTCTGTCTGATTGCTCCATTTTTAAGACTAAATCCTTGGACTGCATTAATCCGTTAGTGTAAATTTTCAGCAGAAAATCGACGATAGTTCCCTCTGGTGACTGTAAGTAAAGTTGCACAGCAATCACCAGATCCACTAACTTCACAACTCTAAGTTGTAATCGTTGCGCCTCAAGTCACCCAACAATGGGTTACACAGGTAATGCCCAGCCAAGTTTCCGGTATTAGTTTACTCGGTGTGTCTATCAATGCGATCGGTAAATCGATGGTAAAGGAATGCACTTTTACGTACCAACACATTGTCTCAAAGATTGGGCAGAATTTCGCCGCATTTTTGCCTTGGAGCCTCCCATCCAGTTTTAGTATCGTATTCTCTAGGTCCGAATGAAGTTCACTGAAAGCATCCCTTCACAAAACGCACATTTAAACACAATATACGCCCCGATCGTCTCATATCGAGCATGTGCTATATTCAATTCTGTTGCCATAAACAACGGACTTGTCCTATCACGCAATCACAGCTAACGAAATTGGTAAGACGAAAACATAGGGAGAAGGAGAGTTTATTAGGAAAAAATAAAATGCTTTAAATAATGTGAACAGAAAAGATCATTTTTCCAACCATAATATCTGAGTAGTTCTCACACTTTGGGAATCAACCACGACACAGATGATCTGATTGGTCCCGATCACTCGCTCCCTATTGGTTCACAAGAGGATGGACCGGGTGTTTCCGTGATTGGCATTATCTATTAGCGTGGGACCATCACAGGAGCTTCCGAAATTTTGTATCCACATGTCCGCTTAGATACCTGCTCAGGGAAAAGCACAAAAATTGAAAATTCGAAGATCGTAGTGCGCTTCGGGGTGGGCGTCGCCAGTTGTAGATGGTTATCCATCCCTTGCACCTCATGATCAGGCTTCTCAAACAGCCTCTGCTGAGAAAGCTCTACTCACTGCCTTCTCGTGGCGTGGGTGTTTACCCACCAAAGTGAGAGGACGACAAGCTAATATCCGGGGCGATAACTAGATCGGTGATTCACTAGCAGTTCACCTAGTGGAGTTGGTTAAAAAGCCCTGATTTTGAACAGATCACGAACAGGTGTGTGAGCCACAAACACTTCTTAATTGTTGCAATAATCACCGGTTCGGTTAGGTTCATTTTGGCATTTTAAATGTCTGATCCCGTCCAAATGGCGTGTGGTTCGATGAACTGGACACCGGCTCCCAATGGATCGCGGTTTTCACACTCACCGCTCCG